CATCACAATAAACCAATAAAGCTGATACTTTAATAGTTCGACTGATTAGCTTGCAGAAGTTATTGATGTAATGTTTTTGGAAAATATTTTACCAACAGAATTCTATTTTTTTTTGCCAGCATTCATGCTCAGTCATCTTGCTGCGAGGGGATAGTGATTTTAATTGCTTTGATTGAACATTACTAGAGCTGCAAGTCATAAATATGCAGCGCGGATCCTGGTGGATCCATAGCATGTGCTGCTGTATTGACCTTTTATGGAGCAATAGAACTGCTTCAAGGGAGAGAACGTGACTGTGGAGCAACGTCATGTATAACTCAGCGAGCGTGTGTTCAAAGAGTGCGTGTCCGTTCAGCTCAGCCCGGTTGCACCCTGTTTTAAATGTACATGTGAAATTAGGTGTGCACGGTGCTGGTCCAGGTTCAGACAGGGGACAGTCATTCTGCTTGAGCAGCTGGAGTTTCTCGCAGGGAGCCTGTTGTGATGCTCGGATGAACCACAGGCCTCCCTCCTCTGGCAGACAGCCAGGTCCACTCTACCTGCTCGACACAAACGTTTATCAAGAGGCACTGACATCAGGGGTCCTCTCACGACAATGATACTTTTTTATTTATCAGTGTGACAAATGTTTTATAAGGATTCACTACAGGCTACAGATAGTATAATGCAGAAAATCTACATATTGTAATATCTATGGTTAGAGTGTGTAGAAAAACATCAGTCCCCTAAATATACCTGATTTCCTTCATCAAGATCCATACTCTGAAAAATCAATAAAAAATCTATCTCACAATGTCGAAGAGAGTGGAAAAACAATCCTGGACTCGACCCCTGATTACGTTCTATATCAAAAAATGAATTGGTTCTTCCTTGGCTCATGCCACATCTCTAAAAGTTTCATGAAAATCAGTGGAGTAGTTTTTGTGTGATCCTGCCAACAAACAGAACAAATCCTTGGCGGAGGTTATGTGTTTTTTTTTTTTTTATGCCACTAGAATGCATTAAATCTTCCGCACTGAACCTTGTTCATCCAATTCAGTGGATTCTACGTCTGAAGGAGATCTGTGATATGATAAAGTATAATTAATCAATGGAATGAATGGTGGAATAGAAAGCAGTTAATTCAGAAACTTCTCTTAGTTTCTAAAACGTTTACTGATGGAAGATAAAAGGTTTTAAATTAGAGCTTATAAAAGAAAAAGAAACTTCTAGTTCTATGATTGGTTGAGAGTTTTCTGTTGATATGAAAGCAATGAATTAATACAGTTCCCCTGTTTGTCTCATTCTTCTATCCCAGCAGACACAAGAAAAGGTCAGAGCCTCCATCTCGACGGCCCCCTGCCCGCCCCAGCGACATCCACTGCATGGTGCATCCCTCCCAGCAGGGTCACGGTGGACATGGGGGCACCCCGGAGATGGGCTCACCGGTCCTCGGCCACTTCAGCCCACGGGACATGCTGCGGAGTCGCAACCACATGCCCATGGACAGCCCGGAACGACGGCGCCGCACCGGCCACGGCAGTCTGACCAACATCAGCCGCCACGAGTCGCTGAAAAAGATAGAGAGCCCCCCGATCCGCCGCTCCACCTCCTCAGGCCAGTACACAGGCTTCACTGACGCCCACCACCTCCACCATCTCCACCACCACGGGGGCAAGCCGCTGGATCCGGAGAGCATCGCACAGGTCAGCGCGGGACGAGCGGCGACCCGACCGCAGCTCCCTCCACCATCAAAGCCCTGCCCCGCCCTGTAAAAACATAGTCAGTCCCTGTCTTCTGCTTCCTCTGGCTGCAACTGTGTCCGTGTGCTGAATTCACGCAAAAGACGAGCTTCACAGGCAGACAGCAGGGGATGTAGTCCGACACAGGGATTCTTCACGTACAAAGATTTAAATAAGATGAAATGCTATTTTTCAAACTGTACCATCACGTCACTGGTCATCCTGAGTGTTGAAGCACTCAGGGAGGCGATGGCTCTGTTTTAACTGCGGTCACATATTTTTAAATAGCAGAGCCATTAATATTGCTTGTAAAGTTAGAAAGCAGAGGTCACAGAGAGCCTGTTAAACTGTGCTGGGCTGTCTGCCTGCAAACTGGGAGCATGCTCAGATGAACATACCACGTCATCTCTGCATTTCCAAAGTCATTAGCATGCAGGAGGAGAGGTGCTGATGCAAAGTAATTCTCTACCTTTCTGCCTGGAAGACGCATGCTTGGTGTTTTTTTGAAACTTGAGTTTCTCTTAACACAGTTTCTGTTTCCTTCTAACTCCACCTTCTTACTTGTATGTCTTCTGTTAGTTTATCATCTTTTCATTTCTCTGTTCTACCTTGTTTCCCAGTCATCTCGACATCATGTCATTATCGTGCCTTCATATCCTCCCTGACGCTCACTCTCTTTCTCTCCTGCAGGACATAGAGGAAACCATGAACACTGCTCTGAATGAGCTGCGTGAGCTGGAGCGGCAGAGCTCAGCCAAGCACGCCCCGGACGTGGTGCTGGACACCCTGGAGCAGCGGCAGACCTCCGGCAGCAGCGGCGGGGGTCCCACGCCCGCCAGCTCCAGCGAGTCCCTCAGCCCCATCCACGGTGTAATGCTGAGGTCCACAGCCAACACCGAGCCGCCCCTCCGCCGCAGCACCAGCTCCTCCAGCGACACGATGAGCACCTTCAAGCCGATGGTAGCGCCCCGCATGGGGGTGCAGCTCAAACCCCCCGCCTTGAGGCCCAAGCCCATGGTTCTGCCCAAGTCCGGCCAGGCTGTGCAACCTCCAGCCACGAATCCTCAGGATCCTCTGGACAAGTCCTGCACCATGTAACCTCCGGGACGAGAACCAGAGATATAAACCAAGAACTTTAAATCCACTTCCAGGGGGCTGCAGAGTACTTCATGGACGTAGTGCAAACAAATCTAAGAGCGTGTAACATACGTGGACCTAAGCAGGAAAAGACATTTGAGACCAGAAACTGGACTCTGGCAAGATTTGAAAGGCGGCGTAGGAGTTGCAGTGTAGACTTCTGTGTCAATAACATGTTTATGTGTTAAAATGCTTAGATTGATATTATCTAACATCTTCTTTTAATAAACACAAACAACAAATCACAAAGGCTTCCTTCAAGGTTTTAGAAGATGTGTTCTAGCTAGTTTAGTTTACAGAGGATCATGTACCTGAACAAAACACGGTGCACGTACAGTAGCTCCTCCGTTTACCACTGAACCTGAAACAGAACTTGATGAAGGGACCTTGGAGGGTCTGTGAAGGCCTTACTGACTCTGAGATGTAGGTGAAATGTAAAACCGTTTTAAGGGTGCTGTGACTTCCTGGACAGACCTGGTGTGAAGGTTGGACTGATAACAGGCCTGCAGAGACTTTAATAACCAATGGTACTCTTTAAATACTAGGACTGATTCACTCTCTGCAACTTTCTGTGGAAATAACCGTTGTGAGTTGTGTCTCAGTAATGTGCAAAGAATCACCTCTGTGCTGGATTTGCTGACAAATATTTGCATATATATATATATATTCCATTTCGCCGGGAAGGAGATCTGATGATTGGATAAAACCACTACTTCATTGTACACTTTGATGCATTCATGAATTCCTGCATCAGCAACTGATGAAGGGATAAAATATGCCTAATAAATTATGCCTTTACATCTGTATAGGGAGCAGTGTGAAAAGTTATGATCTAACTACAGTATATACAACACGTTGGCGATTATACGCTGTGAAACACATGCCATAGTTTCTGTTATGCCTTGCTTTTGCTTTATCTACCCAAAGACATGGCTGTATAAGTGTAAAGCATGGATTCTTCATATAGATTGATGTGTATAGACTTAATGCAGCGCCCTATGGGAGTGCTGCCAGTAGCCATGGACCTAAAGACTGTTAGTGTAAAAGCCTCCTGATACGTTTCACCCTGCTTCCTTTGCTTTTGTCTGTTTAAGTCTCTGAAATCAGCAGCGTGCTTCAAGGCCCCTCCGGTCCTGTCAGCTGAAACTTTGGGTTGTGTGTTTTTTGTGTTGCTTTTGCAGAAGATGACACTTTAAATGGCTGACGTGCGACGCATGGAACAAGCGTCCAGGGTCACGTAATGATTTCAGAATGCAATAGCCACGTAAGAGTCTGTGCCAGTGAGTTCCAGCTGTGTGACTGTGTCCCCCTTTGTCGTGTCTTTGTACGTGAACCTCTGTACTTTAGAAATAACTGAATCGGATGCATGTCCTGGGAATATTTGTCTCAGCATAATAACTCCTAGAAGAAGAGGTTTGGTTTGCAATGAATTAGTGATGCTCTCTAACTGCAGGTTTACACCATTGTTGACTTGACAGACTTGTGTGTAATAATCAAAAGCTAATTTGATTTCTGAATTACTAACTTTTATTATTTTTTAAATCTTTATTGTTATCTTTGTTGGGTAGAAATGACTTTAATTTAGAACAAAATGATATATAATTATAATCTAGAGATACAGATGTCCCACCTACAATATGAAGCCAGTTGTGTAAAATGTGCTTTTGTCACTGTATGTACCATCATCAACAATAGATCTCAGTTATGCCTGTAGGCGTTCAGCTCCTCTGTGGTGTTCTCTACATCTGTAGTATGTACCTGTGAAAGTGCCTTGGAAAATGTTTTAGAGGAACTTGAGACGTTCTGTCGCATTTTCATGTCAGATTCCGTGTTTCTGAAAAAACTGCAGCGCAGGAAGGAGTGAAGAAGTAATGATGCCATTTCCCAAACAGTAATACGACAGAATTAATAATAAACAGCTTACCCATTGTGACATTGCACTTTTATGTATATAACTGTACATATAGCATGTAACATCATAACATTTGGAGTTCTTTGAGAGCTTATACCTCTGAAGGATTTCTTTCTAATAAAGAAAATAGTTTGTCGAGCCTGAGGTGGATTTTTCTTTCCTCTGTTTTATATTGAATAAATTCAATTTTACATCCAGGAGACTTTACATTATAAGTGAACGTGCATTGGATTGATCGCACTGTATTTACAGTAACTATCATCTGTATGCCTCTGAGACAGTGGCAGTAGGCTCATTTTATCTTAAATTTAGTACAAATGAACTCGGAGATGAATTGATGGGATTAACGTGGTCAAAGGTTCTAATTATTTATTGCAATTGGGTAAAATTGAGCTTTTACATTTAGAGGACTTCTGCACAATTTAGACACATGGTGAGTTTGACTAAAATATAAATTAAACTTCAGGAACCTTCAAACCCACAGTCTTTCTGTATTGTCTGACCAATATTACAAGGAAGCATCAAATGGTTGCAACAAATAAAATTAAAGTTGAATAATTAATAATATTGTGAACGGGGCATTTGCTACTGTTTTCTAAAGTTTCCCTCCATCCGTTCATTCTCTGATGAATTCCGTCGGCCTCTCCGTGTTGCGTTCTGCTATGTGCGGCAGCTTTACTGGGACGTGGTCTTCCCCAGGCCTCGCTCCAGCTGCAGCGCTGTTTGCAGAAGTGAGAGTGGCTCTCTGTTTGCTCCCGGCTTCACTGTGGGTCTTCGAGGCCATCTGGTGAGGACAGAAAAGAGAGAGCTCATTGTTTTGGAGACTGTCACACAACATTTTATTTTCAGCTGGACTGAGTCATGCTGTGGTCTGATAAAAGCGGACAAGAAAAAAAAAACAACTTTCACAGAGTTGATTGTGTTTGGGAAACGAAATTAAACAAATATCAGGTTTACCTCAGCAATCCCGACCTTCCGCTCCAAACTGTGAATCCTGTATCGCAGCGTCTTGTGTTTGTATTTGAGCTGCGTGTACTCTGTGATATCAGGAGCTTCATAATCTGTCATCTGGCAGCACAGGTGTTGGTTCAGGGCCTCAGCCTTCAAACACTCCTGAAGAGAGAAAACCCAACTTTGCATGAACTATTATATTTGATATATTGATCTTAAAGTTATTTGATGAACATTTTCAAACTGATAACCGACCTCTTCAGTCTGCTGTATCTCCTCAAGTTTTACCAGCATCTGCTCCTTGTTGCTGATGTCATTGCTCAACTCTGTCAACTCAATTGTCGCACTCTGCAGCTTCTCCTGCTCACACACACACACACACACACACACACACACACACACACGATGAAGAAGATGAACTGACGTGGTGGGGTACATTTACATCATATCAGTGTGGAAACAATTGTCTCTCTCTAACCTTGTGTGAACTGAGGACACGATGCACTATCAAACTTTTGACTTTAAGTTCTTCAAGATTTACGTAAGATCGTTGATCGCTGTTCTCCTGGATGATTCCCTAAAAACAACACACAACACCCCACATTGTTACGCTTTAAAAACGGCAATCATCATTTAAATGGTACATTTATTTGATAAATAGTTATAGGCATAAATAGGATTAACTAACTCTTGATTCATTGTTTTCTTACCAAACTCTGTATCTCACAAAGTACTGGGACATAATTAAACCATCTTTCTGCTTTCTTAGCCTCGTTATAAAAAAAAAAACAATTTCTCTTTCACCTCCTCGTACTCATCTTTTCCTGTTTCCTTTTTAAGTTGCAGTTGCTTCTGGAGCTTCTTCTCCTCGACCTTCAGTGCTTGGCTCTTCAGATGTAACTTCTCCAACTGGGTGTCCTGTTTCAGTTTAGGGAAACACATGCTATATATTTTCCATTTTGCTCCAACATGCACAAATAATGAATGTATTGAAACACAATGTTGTTAGAAAAGAGGAAGTAAAACATCTATGAGTTTAAAAATAATACAAGATATTAGAATATTAGAGCCCGATGCACACTCACATTGTTTTTACACTTTTGTTGACAGCACTAAACCAAACCAGTGTTTTACCTTCGAATTGTCTTGGAGGTACTGCAGCACCCTCTCTGGCTTCTTTATTTCCAGACTGTTGTCCTTCATAGGTTTCAGCGTTCTGCGTTCAAAATCTTTCTTGGCCTTCCTGATCTCTGCCAGACACAATTCCGACTCTTCCAAAGAGGCCTGGAAACACAAGCAGAAAGAATGTTAAAATGAGTAAAGGGAACATTTTGCTGGTTTGTTGTTATCTTTTTGTGCAAGGGTGTTTTATAGTCTAACCTTGTAGTTGTCCTGGATTCTCTCATGTCTCTGTTTGAGATCCTCATGACCTTGTTGTGTCTCTGTTATTTCAGTCTGTGCGACATAAAGTTTCTGTTCCTGTAGGAGGCGATCTGATGTGTAGCAACGAGACCTCCGTCTCCGTCCCTAATAACACACACAGGGACATAATTAAATCATCGTTCATGACCATTAATCTATAATTCTGGGAGATCATTTCAATCACCCTTCCTAAGACTATGTCAGGAAACCACAAAAATGGCTGCTAACTGCAGCAATATGATTTGTCGTTATTCTTACAACTTAAAAAGTATTAGATTTTGTTTCCCTCTGGTTGTGTTTTCAACTTTTAATCCTGTTCTGTGACCATGAGAGAGAATAATGTTGTTGTGGGTGTGGAGTGGCTCATCAGAGCAGCTGTAACAGGGTGATGAGTACAGCTGAGTCCAGTTGGCTAATCACTCCTCTATGTGAAGGTGGCAGAGACTGACACACACACACACACACACACATACATGTGTGTAAGACTTTACACTGAATGTCACTCACTCCACCCTCCAGCTGAGAGGCTCCTGCGGCCTCCGGACCCTCCCCCCCGGCCTGGAACAGCTGGACGTGTAGATCCAAACGGACGCCGAAATTTTCAAACAGGTCATTCTCTGCCAGCAGAGCTGCATTGGAACTCCTTGAGGTAAATGACAACAACTTCAGTCAGCCAAGAGAAAGGATTGATTTTAAAGGTTTAGTAGCTTTAAGTTGGAAGGTATAAATTAATACTTAGAAAAACTGTTCATGGTGTATTCAAACAATTTAAACATTTAATTCTGCGAGTTATGATTTGAACTAGTTTATTTTAAAGAATGAGGGAAAACTTGTAACCCTGTACTTTTATTTTATATAGTTCCATGAATAGATGCTTGATAGAAATATGGAAATAAGGTAAATAGAAAGAAGAATGGATGATAAATAAATAAAAAAACAATAACAGATAGATAGATGAATAATGATTAATAGAGATGATGGGCAATAGATATGTACTTGATAGAAATTATGATGGATGATACATAGAAAGAGATGAAAGATAGATGAAGGGAAGGTTAAAAGATTGATGATAGACTGATGAACAATGACAGATAGGCAGATAGACAGATAGATAGATAGACAGATAGATAGATAGATAGATATATAGACAGATAGATAGATAGATAGATACATAGACAGACAGACAGACAGACAGATAGATAGATAGATAGATAGATAGATAGATAGACAGACAGATAGATACATAGACAGACAGACAGACAGACAGACAGATACATAGATAGATAGACAGACAGAACTACAATTACCACTTAGCTCTACGTGGCTACTCATACTTAGCGTTAAGCAACAAACAGTTTAACCGTGAAGTTTATTACCATGAAATGAAACCTTCTTTATTAACGGACCCATCTCGAAGTATGTTCTTTAAAAACGTGTGTGTCTGACCTGAGTTGTTGGATTCGGCTGCAGAGAAGAAGTTTGTGCTCTTGTTCTGTCACTTCCTTGTTCTCCATGGTTGCTAAGGTGCACGAAACTCCTGCAGTGGTTGCTATGGGCTGCGTGTTGCCTTCAAGTGCTTCCGTAAAAACCGAGAAGAATGGAAAGCTGTCGAGTTTTATTGTATTTCAGGGGAACTATTTGTATTTTTTTTAAATGTGACATTAACATGGAAGCTTTTGAGATTGTAGGTACTAACTATAGCACGTTTCACTCCTCACTTTAAATGTTTTCAAATGAAAAAACATTTGTGTTGTTGGTAAGGGCAGGGCTTCAACTTTTCCTTTCCTTGTTTTTCAATTAAGTTTCGGTTTCAATTCTCTGTAACAAAGAGCGACATCAACTCCTCCGAGCAGCTCCTCGAGTCTGTTTGCTGAACGAGCCTGTCTCAGGATGGACTCCACCATTTCTACATTTGTCATCAGGACCCTGTGCGACCACCAGGGAAGTCTGGACTCGAGGCGGCTGAACGAGAAAATCGTGAGGAGTTTCCCCGGTGTGACCTCCCCGGTGCTGCGGAGCGTCCTGTTCGACGACGGTAGAATATGCATCAGGTCAGGCAGAGAGAAGGCCACCGGCGGCTCCACGATGAGTCCGGACAGTCTGCTGGTGGCTAAGACCAGTCTGCGCCTCTGTCAGAGGAAACCCGGAGATTGTCCGCAGTGCGACGGCCTCCACCTGTGCAAGTATTATGTCTGCGGAGACTGCACGTTTGGGTAAGTGGCCTCCTGCTGTTCAGACTGGAACACCAGTAGGTCTGACAGTTTAAAGGTCAAGTGTGTAAGGTTTAGGTGAAAGGGATCTATTGATAGAAATAGAATATGGAGAAGAACCCTGCCAGCTAGTTCAGAAAGCCCCAATCATGTGACATACCTCATTCTCTACAATCATCCATTATACGCATCCACCTTATTAGGCCTCCTATTTAAGCAGATACATTTCCCATCACCCCCTCTGCTCGCACTGCTGCTGCAGTATTGCTTCCACCTGCTTCAGCCCCTCCACCGCCCCAGCATCCACCTGCAGGCTCCACAGGCGGGGTTACAAGAATCTGCTCGTCACTCCCATTATATCTGTGTAATTATATTGGAGTCTAGACGCTAAATACAAACTATGTTCTACTGCTAAACATTTGAACGTGAGTTGTCTGACTGAAATAAAATAATCACAGTGATGTTTTCAGTTGTGTATTTCATCAAAATTGTATGAATTGTTGTTTTAGTGTTGTTTAAGGTGTTTAGTCTGTCCATGGCGGCCTCTGTAGAGAGGACCTGCTCCTGGACAAACTAAACTGCTTTGAGTTTTTATGACAACTGAAGGCTGCCATGGATGGATGTCGGGATTAACCATTTTTACGATGAACCGCGGTTTGATAACGTCACTTTTTCATAACCATAAGAATTGATCAAACTAAGATATCTAACTATGGTGTCCTGCCTCTCGAGTCATGTAATTTGTGTGTGAGCCACAGAAACGTTAGTTGAGAAGAGGGAACTGACTTAACGGCCTTACTTCCACCAACATTGGACAAACAACTCCATCAGAGGAGTTTACGGTGAGAGGAGAAAAACCTGTTTACTTTCAGTTTCTGATCAGCCTCCGCAGGAGCGGCTGACACACACACACCTTTCTCTCTCTCTATCTCTCTCTCCCTATTAACCATTATAAATGTAGCCGAGAGTTTAATTCACCTGTATTAAAAGTTAATATTATTATAAGGACATGAAGAATGAGGCTTGAACCAGGAGACCTTTAGTTTTTCAAAACTAGTCAAAACAGAACAACTTCCGTTGCTGACCCTTCAAAATAAAACTTCCATAAAGATACACAACTTACGACAGAAAACACAAATTTAAATCCACTTAAGTCCAACTGAAGATGGACTTTAAAATTTAGCCATAAACTCATTTTGCCTTTTTTTTTTCTTTTTTTTTTAGACTCAAGTGTAAAAATCCCCATAGTCTGGCTTCTCCTTACAATGCAGACATTTTAAAGAGATTCGGTCTTCAAGACTTTACGGAAAAGCAGCTGTTCCAGCTGTTGCTGCAGAATGATCCCTATCTGCTTCCTGAGGTAAGCTTCACCAGCAGCAGTGGGAGCTCCAGGTGTAAATTCAGAGTCCAGTTGCTGTTGTGTAGAAAATACACATTTCTGAATGAAATCCTTTTTATATACCTGTGTAGATATGCCCACATTACAACAGAGGCCACGGTGAGCATGGCACCTGCAGGTTCAGCACCTCCTGCAGCAAGCTTCATGTCTGCCTTCACTACATCAAGGGGGACTGTACGTTCGGATCCTCGTGTAAGAGAATCCATAACATTGATGCAAAAGGAAACAAGATTTTGCGCGGATTGAGTCAGGAGACTATTAACAACCTGTGTGAGATCTACAGGAATAAATACATCATCATGGGTCAGCTTGCTGCTGCTGTCCCAGGTACAAGATTATTCATTGCTTGTAAAAAATGTTGAATTTCTGTTTCCACCCCCCCCAATCATCTTATAAAAGAGATTGTATGTGTGCCTTCCTCAGTGCCAGCAGAGGTGAAAATGCCCACTCGGTCGCCTTCCCACAGCACCTCTGGATCCCCCCCAGGTCCTGTTTGTGCATCTAAACCCACAACTGATGCTGAGAGGAATGAAATCTGCCTCTTCTTCATTCGCAGACACTGCAGCTTCAAAGGTAACAGTAACGCAGGTCACATCTCCAGTGCAGTAACTGCTAAAATAAATAATTACTATATATCTATCACAGGCTAAATTGGTGCCTTCGTATCCTTGTGTTCTTCCCCAGGGAAGTGTGTCCGCATCCATTGGCACTTACCTTACAAATGGCAGGTTTTAGACAGAGATGGCAAGACCTGGAAGGACTTGCCTAATATGGAAGACATTGAGGAAGCCTACTGTGACCCTGGACAAGATGCAAGCTCCACAACTCAAGAATTGAGTTCAGGGATTTTCAGTTTAATGGGACTTCGAAGGTGCATGAATAAAGAAACACTGGAATTGTCTTTTGAGTTTCTAATAGAAACATATATTTCAATTCCGTGATTTGTATAATCACCTGATTTACAGTACTTTGCTTGCTTTCAGCTCTCTGTCAACCGTTGTGAGGGGAGTTGACTTTATGAGGATGACATATGAAGGGTCTCCAGTTCGTCGACTGTCCACTGCCTCCTCTGTGTCAAAGCCCCCTCACTTCATTCTCACTACACGGTGGCTTTGGTACTGGAAAGATGAAAAGGGGATATGGCTGGAGTACGGACAGGCGAGTCACATTTGTACTAATAACACAGCTCAGGCTCTTTGTTATATCCCTGTTTTCACTCTGATTAATTGTCCCACATTTGATAAATGGAGCTCACTGTGCTCTTGTTTGTTGTCTTCAGGGTGACCAACAAGCTTCTGTCACTTCAGAAACTCTGGAGAACTTGTACCTGGCAGAGGGAGACACAGAGATCCCTTTTAGTGCTGGCAATCAGCATTATGTTCTTCACCTGGGGAAGCCGCTGATGTATCAAGAGAACTTAAAATACAAAACTAAGAGAGAGGTCAGACGGAGGCCTTGCTTTGTGTCTGCCCAAGACGTGAAGGTGAAGCTGGATAGGTACTGTATTATCATTAACACTTCCAGACAAAGATTTTCATGTCTCACGTGACGTCATCAGTCAGACAGGTCGTACTGTATGTTTGTTTCCTTTTGTAGCACTTCGTCACACAGCTCCAGCTCCTCCATGGACAAAATTGTCCCATCCTACTGGGACATGAAAGCCCTGTCCGATTTTGGATTCAAGGTATCTTTACAGCATTTATTATTTGGCTTTATTTTTAATGCGTCTGTGCCGGCTACAGGTACTGGTCTGAGGCACTATGATTTCAGGTTGTCCGCCCGTCTGTCCCATTATCGTGAACGTGATGTCGCAAGAATGTTTTGAGGGATTGTTTTTATAAAAATTGGTACAAACGTTCACTTGGACTCACTGATTAACTGATCAGATTTCAGTGGTCAAAGATCACAATGACCTTATATGACTCTGGGGGGAAAAAACTGTTTAAATTTGTATACGGAAACTGCACTAGTTGGCAGAGGAATAAACCAGCAGTGCGGTAATTCCAGTTATTTCTTCTTCCCTTAACAAGTTGAGACGGGGGGTTATCCCCGATGGAGGTATGATTTGTAAAGTTCTAGTTTTTACGATGTTCTGTTTCTTAATAAAGATTGAATATAAACTTCATTAATGACTTGTTTTATCTGTTGTGTTTCAGCACGTACTTCTCTCCAACTCTGCAAAGGACCATAATATGATTGAGAAGTTATTCAGGAGCACTATGCCTCTGAGCAGAATTAACAGCATCAAGAGGATCCAGAACCCTTCACTGTGGAAAGTCTTTCAATGGTAAATATTAAAGAGCCAGAATAGCCGAAATGAGAAGTGTCTGTTATACCCACTCTGCTACATATGAAAATAGTTAGCCTGACTCGGCCCACAGGTTATAAACTCAGTCTACAGCCAAATCTATCTCGAGTAAACGCGTTATATATTATTTGTATAGAGATAAATTATTCACGAGGGTAAAGTACTGCACTCCTACTTGAGTGTAAATTACTTAATGTCTACATATATGCTTTATGACGCTTTATATGCTTTTTTGCGTGTTCAGGCAGAAAGAGCAGATGACAGAGAGAAATGGAAGGAAACCTGTGAATCAGCAGTATTTGTTCCATGGCACTGATGCGTCCCTGATTCAGGCCATCTCTGAGCAGAACTTTGACTGGAGGATGTGTGGTGTCCACGGTGTGGCCTACGGCAAAGGTAGAGTACGACGGCCTCAGCAGCCATTCCAGTAATCGGAATAGAACGGCATTCAGTAGAGCTCATACCTCTGCCAAGGCTCAACAGTCTCCTTAAATTCAATCAAATCACTTATTCGCACACACTTATAGATATCAGTCCCCTAAATGTCCCATCTCGCAATGTCAAAGAACATGAAAAGTAATTCCTGGATCTGAACCAAAATTGAATGGGTTCTTTCTTGGGGCTTAGGGAGTGGAGGGTATGCGAGTAGTTTTTGCATAATCTTGCTTATTATTTCTTACTTCTTACTATTGGGAGACGTAATGACTACAATTCAAAGTATCCAATATTGATGGAAAATTATTATTTATTAGTACTGTGCTGTGTTTTGGTGTAGAGCAGTAACTGTAAAAAGCAGCATACTTGTAACAAAGGTAGCTAGAAAAGAACCCATCACGTTTTCCTGCCCATACTAACACTTACTCATTTATTAGGGAGCTACTTTGCCAGAGATGCATCCTACTCGGACAGGTATGCCTGCATCAAAAGCACCATGAACAAGATCATGTTCGTTGCTCTGGTCCTGGTGGGGGAGTACACCAAGGGATCGAGCAGCTTTGTCCGACCGCCACCGAAAGCAAATGGCAGAACCTTCTATGACAGCTGTGTTGACAACGTGAGCAGCCCCAGCATCTATGTTATCTTTGAGAAACAGCAGATTTATCCAGAGTATGTTATTGACTACACATAATGCTGATGTTTCCCACACTGAAAGGTTTGGTCAGGGTGAAAAAAAACAAACCTAATTATGGGATCATCTTTGCTTTGCACAATAGCGGCCAGTGCCTTTGTTGATGGTGGAAGAAGTAGTTACGGTTAATCCTGCATTGAGAAATGTACTGAAGTAAAAGCTTTGGTTTGATCTATTCATTTATACACTTGATATTTTTAATATTTACCTCTGAAACATAGAGAAGCAGAAGGGATGAAGAAGAGATGAAGAACTGATTATATACATGTATTCATAAGACAGAATGTATAGAAATATATTGCTTTAGTTGCTACAGTTAACATTTATGGTTGGGGGTGTCTATTATTTTGTGTTTAGTTGGGTTAGTACATCTCCCAGAGGTTAAACTCTCAGTCAAGATATGGAATGATGTTTGCTGATAGTTAAAAAAGTTAAAAAGTTTAAAAAAGCCATCAATGTATTCTTTGTCATTATTTAACACCTTTATTTTAACTGTTTAATGAATTAATAATAAGAAATCTCTTTAGTCACTGAACTACACACATTTTACACACACATGGTGAATCATCATCATCAGAAAACTTATTGCATTTATTCAAACTTAAACTGGATTAATGATTTCATTTAGAATTCATGAACTCAGACTCACTCCCAACGCACGGGTTAAAATTCAACAGAGCAGATGTTTCAATGAGAATAAAAAATTAATGGCATCACAAAAAATAAATCATAATTCCACAGTGCAAACTTATGATGGAGTATTAGGGCCAGATAAAAGATAGAAAATTCTGAGATTTAAGGAATAAAGTCAAAATATTAGATCAATTAAGTTGTAATTGTGAAGAAACTCATAATATTACAGGAATTAAGTAAAAACACTAACCCATTTCTTTTTTTGTGGAAATAACCAGCAACCAACAGAATGGGCAAGAGGTCTACGTGGTTCTTTCTTTAGAACAAATATTTTTGTTATTTGTGAAATCTACAAAAAGCAGAACTTAACAAGATGCTCCACATTCCTGGTTTAAACATAGGCGACAGGCTAATGTTCTGATATTCCCCCTTTAAAATTACACATAGCCTAAAAAATACAAATTTATTCTCTTAATATTATGGCCTTATTCTCGAAATCTTATTTTCCCCATTTAAGTGACCCTGACACTCGTTGTTCAAACCTGTCAACACTTTCTAATAGTGAAATAAAAACTACAAATCAGCAGCGACCACTCTCGACTAGATTAAGTAGATTTCAACAATTGCAGTAACTTATATTTGGTGGTATGTCTCTGTTCTGGGAACTCCCAGAGAGGAGGGTGGAGGTGGTTTGTGAAGTGGCTTGTAATGGAAGTAGTACGCAGCTTAAATAGAGCACGCAATTTCACATGAGTGGAATCACAAAAATAAACTGACAGTGCAGTTTGAGCCTGCTCAAAACAACAGCCTCAGAAACAGTAATGCTGGTTGCTCTTTCAGTAGAGCACAATTCTTCTCCGTTGTTCACTCCTATGTCTTTATTCACACGCCCTCCAGCTCCCTCTGTCATTATTATATTTAACTGATGAAGCCATCAGTAGGGAGTTCACAGTTTTGTGCAAGTGTCATTTATGACAGCAAAGAAATTAGGCCCAGTCTCTTCTCCCCCCTCAATGAAAAGGCATGAGATGAGCACAATGGTTGAGGTATGCATGGTACTTAAATTTAAAGTTAAAAAAAGTAATCTATGGAAATTAAAGATCCTGGAAAGTATTACACCATTGACCTATTGGATGATTTATAACTTTTACCACCAACCAAGAAGATGAACGGTGAGTTTCTAATCATCTGGTGGCGAATTCAATTGATCCGCTCCCGAATTTCTTCTAGTGATTTTCACGAATATGCCATTTTTGGGTCCTAAAGTGCTCGATGACTTCAACTCGAGCGGAACCTACACAAAGGAGAGAAGAAAATACCACATGTAAGACTTTCATGTTGTACTGTGTGTGTACTGTACGTAGCTTGCAGATGTAGGGTAAAGTACAGTAATCAGACAACAGTTAGTATTTTTACAGCTGCACTATCACGTGTTAAAGTGTGGGAGCAGCAGCTTTTGTCTCGTTTGTCTTGTTGGATTGGATTTTTTTTACAGCTATGACCTCTGCTGCTACTGTGGATGCACTTTGATTGTACAAACAAAACTCTTTGATAGTCTCGTTTTATGATACTGATATACATGTCAGTGTTTGTAGGATGACGGGATATTGACAGATGCAAATGCAGACACAATCTATAGCCTTAAACAAATCTATTAGCTGTCAGACTGCAACTCTGCAGGAGTATTTCCATTTTCACCTCAGATACATGCATACATGCAAATGACTCCTTTGTGAGTTTCGAGCCGTACAGTCATGTTGATTAGATTGTTGTCTGAAGTGTGAAACCCACCTTCGTCTCAGTGCAGGCCACGATGTTGTATTTGTGAAACAGATGAACTAAAGCCATTTTGATCTCCAGCTGAGCGAGCCTCATGCCCACGCAGTTACGGGGGCCGGCCCCAAACGGTAGATATACAAATGGATGTCGACCGGCCTTGGCCTCTGGTGTGAATCTGTAGGTAAACAAAATGTATACAGCGTTCATGTGGCTCTGTACAGATCTTTTTAATATTATATTGAATGCAAAGTAATATAGTAATAATAATTATTATTATTTTAAATAGTCTCAACAGTTTGAGTTTTAAATATTATGTTAAACCAGTTGGAACAATATTTTCTACATTTATTTATAATGATATCATATTTTTGAGCAGCATTTAAAAATAATTCCTATGAATATAAGGAATTGCTTAATTCAGATGGATGTGGATATAAAATGTATTTTGCAAACTATCAGGTCAGTAACAGGGAAAGTAACGAGCAATGTCATGGCTATTCACTGACACGATTTGCATGTACATCCACCAGTATCTGATCATAGTGACATCCATTTAAAGAAGTGTTTGTTGTAACCCAGCTGAATTTATCATTTGTAAGTAAAATATTGTAGTGGGCTTATAGTTGTGTTTAACTACTCCAGCAGCCTCCTACCTCTCAGGGATGAACCTCTCAGGCTCGGGCCAATGCTCGGGGTCGTAATGGAGGAAACCTGCAGGGATCTCCAGCGATGCTCCTTTAGGGAGAAACTGTCCATTCACCACACAGTCCTGGTCGATGTCTCGTGCAAACCTTTGTGGGACAAAATGCAGAGGAAAATGTTGGCTCTACACTATTGATATACCTCAAATAGTTTTTTTTCTTTATATTTGATTAACGTATGGTCTTGGTCCTTTTTAAACATATACAAATACATAAATCATCTTCTACCTGAATCCAGGAGGGTAGAGGCGCAGTGCTTCACAAACAACCATGTCCAAATACTTCAGCTCCTGAACATTTGTGTAATCTGGTGACTCCTACAAACAGGTGGCACAAGATAAAACCCATAACTGTCTTTTGTCATAACTAAATGAAGCAAAGAAGATCAGATTAAACCACGGGTGATTACACTCACATGTCTAGTGAAGAACTCATCAACCTCTTCCTGTACTTTGTGTTGACATTCAGGGTGGATGGCCAGCAGGTAGCAGGTGAAGCCCAGGGTGTTGCTGCTGGTTTCGTAGCCTGCCAGGAGGAAGACAAAAGACTGGCCCACGATCTCATCCTCAGTTATCATCTTTCTCTGAGGAGCCCTGCCATGCGCCTCCTGATCTGAGGCCGATGGCTGCACTGGCGGAGCTGGCTGGTTCCTGTGATTGAGCTCATCGGTATGGTTCAGTGTATCGAAGTGCTCCAAAGACACAGACTCTTTGCTGGTTCGAGCATCCAACATCAGCTGAAGGAAGTCTCTACGCCTCTACAAGAAAATGTAAGGGTCAATAGATTAATGTAAAAAATTATATATCAGAAAAAAAACTTGAAGGAGATGCAGATGATACATAGAACACGCAGATCAAAAAGAAAAATGTGGGAATGTTCTTGAGGCTAAGATAAACTAGAAAATCTCTCCTGCCGAGACATTTTGAATGGGTGCCTTGTGCTCGTCGATGCCGGCGTTGCTTCGAACACAGAGACGCATATTATCCAGGTTTACGTGAAATCCAATTT